CCATATATCTCCTTTTTGGCCTTCCTCTTGACCTCTTGCCTGGCAGCTCCATCTCCAACATCCTTCTACCAATATAACCACTATCCCTCCTCTGCATTCTTGCTGCCACTCTTCTGCCACACAACACCCCTGCCACCTTTCTCCACCCACTCCAACCTGTCTGCACTCGCCTCTTCACCTCTTTTCCTCACTCCCCATCACACTGGACTGTTGACCCCAAATACTTAAACTCCTGCACCTTCTTGACCTCAGCCCCCTGTAACCTCACTGTTCCACTTCCCTCCCTTTCGTTCATACACATGTATTCTGTCTTACCACGACTGACTTTCATTCCTCTTCTTTCCAGAGTAGACCACCTTTCTAGGTGTGCCTCCACCTGCTCTCTGCTCTCACTACAGATCACAATGTCATCCGCAAACATTGTCCATGGAGATTCCTGTCTGACCTCATCTGTCAACCTGTCCATCACCATAGCAAACAAGAAGGGACTCAAAGCCGATCCTTGATGTAGCCAACCTCCTTGAACTCCTCTGTCTGACCTACAGCACATCTCACTACTGTCGTACTCCTCTCGTACATATCCTGAACTACTCTGACATCCTTCTCTGTCACTCCTGACATCCTCATACAGTACCATAGCTCCTCTCTCTGCACTCTGTCGTACGCTTTCTCTAAATCCACAAAGACGCAGTGCAGCTCCTTCCGACCATCTCTATACTTCTTCGTTAACATTCTCAGAGCAAAAATTGCATCAGTAGTGCTCTTTCTGGGCATGAAACCATACTGCTGCTCACAGATATCCACTTCCTTTCTTAGCCTAGCTTCCACTACTTTTTCCCATAGCTTCATTGTGTGGCTCATCATCTTTATACCTCTGTAGTTGCTACAACTCGGCACATCACCCTTGTTCTTAAAAGATCGCCACTAGTACACTTCTCCTCCATACCTCAGGCATCTTCTCACTCTCTAAAATCCTGTTGAACAAAATAGATAGAAACTCCACTGCTGTCTCTCCTAGACACTTCTACACCTCCACGGGTATGTCATCTGGACCAACTGCCTTTCCACTTTTCATTCTCCTCAAAGCCTTGTTATACATAGTTATGTTATTTTTACATAGTGTTTAATTTATAGGTTAGTTGGCTTGCAATTAACTTCAGAGTTGCCAACAAGTATTCACACCACATTTAAGTCGATAATCCACAAGTACTGTGAATAACACTGTGCAAGTTGAGTCCTGCTTGATGATCTGCTACAGCAGTAGCGGGAGATAGGAGCAGGGCAGCTGGGCTGCAGAAGGTGAGAGAGATGCAGTGATGTCCTCTGGGTAGTAGGAGAACAGGAGGCAAGCAGGGAAAGTCAACTAGTTACGCTAGTTAGCTTTGAATACGAGATCAGGCTGGCTCAGTATTCAAGCACCATAACTGTCAAGTTAAATAAAATCATAAATCAGGATATCATATAAAACAAATGTGCAAGAAAATATATTCAACATTACTATGAAGAAAAGTTAAGTCAGTGACAACACTGAATAGATTACCTAGTCCTGGTGTAATTAAAAAAAGCAATTACTTTCAACCACTTCATTTATTCAAACATGTTTATTCAGGATGAGGATAAACCAGCACAGTAGCTACTGTATCTCTGAGCAAGTACAGTTCAGCTATTAGACACAAAGAAATGTACCACATGAAACTGCATAAGATGGCAGTGTTTTCCACAGAAAAGTGTATAAAAGTTACAAAAAAGTTTTATACATCCGCGCATGTCCTGAAAAAGCTGAACGTTTTGATACCTGAATGGCTTTTCTAGCTGAAAGTAGTTAAGTGCCAAAAAAACGTATGGAAGAATAATAATAAAGAAATAAATAATTGTAAAACATAGTATGGATGCCGATTCAACATCCATACAATAACTAGAAAAATTGCATTTCCTGAAGAAAATGCACGTGTGGATGAGAGATTTGTAATGCATTGTTCTGAAAATGCCTGAATTCAATAGCAAAATGGCAGAAGGAGGAGAAGAAATGGCTTAAGTTCTTTGTTGAAAAAGTTGAAATGACTGAAGTTCTTTGTTGAAATAGTTGAGAAGAAATGGCTCAAGTTTTTTGTTGAATAATCAGAAGGATGAGATGCAATAAAGTAGGAATGGCCTTGAAGAGCTGAACATTTTGATACCTGAATAGCTTTTGTAGCTGAAACTATGCTGAACTTATAAAGATGTGAAAATTGTCTCATTCGTCCCCACAAAGTAGGTAAAACAAACAGGTGTGTGTGTGTGTGTGTGTGTGAGAGAGAGAGAGAGAGAAAATTCCCAATTACACCCTGTGGACTACTACTGTGTGGCTACTGAAATGAAACATTGTTAGGATTGCCCTGAAAATGTCTGAAATCAATTGTTTAAAGAGCTGAAGGATGAGAAAATATGGATGAAGTTCTTTGTTGAAATAGTTAACAAAGATGCCATAGCAATAGTGAACTACATTAAACGGCGTGCCAAGAACAGCTGTTGTTTCATACAGCTGTGCAAAGACCTGGGATTAGATCATGTTCAATTGCTGAGTCGTTCAAAAGTTTGCTTGGCTTTCAAGGGGAAAAGTAATGTCATGGTTTTATGAACTTAAACACAAAATCACTGCCTTGCTCTCACACAATAACTCCCTGTATACTGAGATGCTCAGTGATAAACTCTGGAGTGGCAGTGAAGTACGTCAGAGTAGTTCAGGATATGTATGAGAGGAGTACAGTGTCAGTCGTAGTAAGACAGAATACATGTGTATGAACAAAAGGGAGGGAAGTGGAACAGTGAGGTTAGAGGGGGCAGAGGTCAAGAAGGTGCAGGAGTTTAAGTATTTGGAGTCAACAGTCCAGTGTGATGGGGAGTGTGGGAAAGAGGTGAAGAGGCGAGTG